AAGACACATCTGCCAATCGGCTTTCTGAAGACTTTCACCAACCAGCATCATTTCGCCTCTCCGATTCCGGCGAGGAATAACTTTATTTTCATTTTTAATGTTTTCCTTGTGCTTTGAAGTTTCTTCAGCGATTGGATTGGTTTCCCGCGGTAGGTTTGCTAACCCTATGCCCAACCTTCCCTCTTTACCCGGGTTTAAGACCGGCTAGTAACTAGTTAACTAGTTACCTAGACAAGGTTGACCGAACATGGGGATTGAAGTGAAATGAAAATCTAGTCAGCAGTTGAACCTCGTAGCTCAGCTGGTCGAGTATCGGGCCGGAAACCCAGTGATCCCTTATTCGTATCCAGCTGCGGTTCAGATTTTCATTTAATCTTTGATCATCACCTAGCATAAATACTAGTCTGTCAAAACTACGGCTATTTCAGTCAAATGAGGATCACATTTTCCCGATAAAATACGACCCCTAATTGCGTCATACAATTTCATGAAAGGGGACTAATATTTTGTTGCATAACAATAATAATGATTCAGTCTACGTGAACTTGAGCTTCTTTGTTCATCAGAAATTCTCTGTCTGAGAATTGTCGTTTAGGCGTACTAAACTTGCATTCATTTTATTGGGATTTTTTAGTCTCCCTGTTCGAACGTGTGACTTCAATTGGTTTGTATGCAATAAAATGAACGTATTCATATTGAAAGGTTAAAATATCATTTTATGTTCCGTTAATACCTCGCATTATTGGTCTATTACCAGGTGACTGGCGATGGTTTTTCCACTGGACACAGTTTGTAAACCACTTTACACACTTGTTTCAGCATTGCTTTTCTTTTGTTCTATGTAACGGGTGTAAAATTCCTTTAAGGAGGATGTGTAGCCTCAAAGATATCCTCGATATAAGAAGACAGCATGATAATTTTGTTCATTGCTGATGAGATACATATGCTCTCTATAAGTTGCTTGATTCAACACCTTCCAGACACCTGTTGACATAGAGGAATTTGAATACAGAATGCTTTCCCTCATTTCTGTCAAAATTCGTTTTTCTACAGTCAGTTTGTCTCCATTTGGAAATAGTATTTAGACACAATTTTCCGTATGATCAATTCGAGTCGAATGGAAATGTACTCAGCAATCTTGTTCACATTTTTGCAGTAGACAGTGAACCATACCCACTGTGTGAGGAGAGCTAATGATACTACTTAGTTGCCCGAACCTCAGAAGGTGCATGATATGGGTTCCAACCTATGACTCACTGGTTGAAAGTAATCTCCCTAAACCAACAAACTGCAGTCCCTATGAGGAATTCGATGGATGTTTTTTTGGTTTACTCCTTACTATGTACATGTTGTCTTCTTACAGACTTGTCGAATTTTCAACTGCTCCTCATTTACACAACTAGCATATCTAGTTGATTGCTAATTTCTTCTTGGTTGGTGAAGTTAATTAATCCCTTTGATATATTGTTTATCAGATTGTAAATACCTACATTTTTATTTTTATTGGCAATTCACAAAGTTGTTGTGCATACAACAGACAGACAGATCTAAAAACATGACAGACATCTGACTACATTTACTGAATTGCAAACTCAGCTCAGTCAGGAAGTCGTTGAGAAAATCACTAGTCTCGCCGATTTTCTCAAATCACCTTGAAGACGCTGACCAGTGTTGGTGAAGGTTATGCTAAGTTTCATGTATGCTTACTCTAGTCCAACTGACTGTCTCTAGGACGTGACTTTCGGTGAAATTCTGCTTCGTCTTCGCCCCTCTTCGTAACGCAGTCCTCCCTAAATGACTAAACAGTCTAAATGTTTGACAGTGATTAGCCTAAATTTGAAATTATTCTCCATCCTAAAACTTCTCTGTTTTTGTGAATTTATTCATTTGACAGGATTGACCAGCACAAGAAAACACTCTCAAGGTAACTTCTAACAGAAGCTATCGACGAGTTATCGGATATCTCTCGAAAACAATCAAGTGAATATCCGTCTCACCTCACTTCTAATAACTCATCAAGTGATCTACCCAGTTGTGGTCGGGAGAATGATGGCAGTAACCTTTATTTTTCTTTAGTTTTCAACATTGTTGTCAAACTGTTTACTATTAGTTATAGTTGGTTTATGTAATAAACGCGCTTTTGCTAAATGTCGTGTTGATTCTCTACATTCAATAGACACTTATGATATTGAACGAATGGATTTACGTTACAAATTCTAGCTATTGCAGTCGAAGTAGTTGATTGAAAGCTTCATGCATTCATCAGCAGGCAAAATTTCAGCTCAATCCTGTGAATTTTTACTGCTAAACTGGAAGTCGGTAAATATCTCCAACGTTTCTGGCTCTTTCGGTTTTACTTTTTTCAGTTGACATTGTAGACTGAATGAAGCCATTGTCGGTAATTCCTTCTGTCATTTGCTTAAAACTACCACAAAACTGTGATGGAAAACATTTGTCTGTGTCACATTACCATTTATTCACGATAAACTTACCATGAATATAGTGGAGCTATGGCTCATTGGTTTGGGGAGTTGACATTCAATCAGTGGGTCACTGGTTACAGCCCTGCGCGATGTACCAGCGTGTAGGTAGTCAAACAGTATCGCTTGCAGTCGTCACTTAGTAGGTGTCGGTCATCGTCTGCTGCACGAATGTGCACATGAAAGGTGGCAGAACTAGTTTCAAAGCCAAATATAAGTGTGAAACTTGGTTACTGTGGTGAAATATAATTCCATATTGGATTTCTACATTTCATGTAGCACACAGTAAACAAATATCATTTGCTGACTGATAAAGTTGAAGCAAGTACACAAATAAACTTAGCATGATTCACTCCACTAAGATGCATAACACTAGAGTACGCCAATCTGGCTTTCTATATGTGGTTAGAAATGTCATCACTCGCACAACTACTTAGATACATGAACTTTTCAACCACTTCCAACGCCTCACCATTAATAGTAAGTGCAGGCTCAGGTTCCTTCCAATTTTGCAAAAGTACGTTGCAATTCAATAGTGCAAAGCGTAAACTATACTTACGTACACTAATCATCAACTGATTCAGCGCGATTTGAGCAGACTGTGTTATCGCACAGTAAGACGATATTGTCCGCATATTCGAGGTCGAATAAACATTGTTCGGGTAGCAGGTCAACGCCACCATTACACACTTGCTTCAGAGCTGTTTCAAGAATGTCATTGATGGTAAAGTTAAAGAGGGATGAAGAAATCAGGCAACCCTGCCTAACCCCACTCCAAGTTTGGAAAAATGGAGATAGGTGTTTGTATCCCCTCACTTTATACGAGTAATTATTTTATAAGGCTTTCAGTTTGTTAACAAATTTCTCAGACACACCCGTCTCCGAAAGACAATTCCAGGATACAGCTCTGTCCAACGAATCGAAGGTAGCCTTAATGTCAAGAAACACAACGTTTGTTGGTGTTATTGCTTACATCCATCATTACAACGATTGCTGGCCTATAATACGTCTGGCGATGTCCAAGCATCTGGCGGGGGGGGGGCATGATCAGTGTATCCCTCACCTGAATGAAACCCAGCTTGCTCCTCGAGGATCATTTCCTCATGTGTTTCGCAAAGTCTGTGAAGCATGGTAGCATCCAATATTTTCGACGCGACTGATAATAGATTAATGCTTCGGTGGCTGTCACATGCATTATGTAGTCCTTCTAAAGATGGGCACAATGATCGCTTCATTTCATACCTTTTTAAACAATCTAGTCAGTTCCCTGGTTTGAGGCATCCCTCTGTTTTTAAAAAGGCCCGATTGTAGGCTGTCTGAACCTAGTGTCTTGTGGCGTTTCAGTTCCTTATGAATCTCCACTACGTTAGGTGGGTCAGTGTTAACTGATCATGGAGCACGATACACTGAAACTGAGGATGCTGGAGCAGTGAGCCAGCTAAACTGCGAACCTTCAGAGCTTATCACCGGATTGGTTGATGCTAAGAGTCAACCTGGGGAGTTGGAAAACCCTTGTTCTAACCCAATGATGCATATCAACCCCAGGTTTCAGAAGGAATGAATTACGTATGAACCCATTTTGGTCATCGGCAACCATGGGAATGCAGCTCCTTATGTTCCTCCACTACCTTTTGGGTTAGACTTTAACTCAAAAGCTTGACGAATGGTCCCCTAGGACAACCACCTGCTCCGATCTGAGCGTCTGGACAATGTCTGAGGCCTCACACAAAATATGAATTTACAGGGCGTTGTTAGCATGTATGTGGAGCTTTGCGCCCACCACACGTGCTACGGCACAGTTTCTAGTTATTTTAATTTTTTTTTCTTCAAAGTGAACTGGTAGATTTACTCTGATCCGGAGACACTTTTGTACTCCTATATCCTATGTAAAGGTAACCTGAGTAAAACATTCTACTTATTTTGATACCACCACGTGTAAATCTCCCAACGCCTTCATTGAATAGATCGAACCAGAACTCTGGATTTAGAAGAAATACTTTTAGGTGCCACTTCTCACTTGGTCTAAAGTAAAATAAACACTATTTGTTGTTGCTGACACTCCCTTATTCACATTCCATTTTGAAAATGTATTTGCTGCAAACTTGGCAGGTTTTTACGCTGAAAAATACAATTTTATAACTGCACAACTTAAAGTGTACCTGGCGAGAAGAACAATCTTCGTTCATACTGTCTTCTGATGAATTAAATGTGGATCTTTAAGTGTTTGAATTCGTTATCCATCTTCTTACTTCACGCAGATTGTATTTGTACAGTGGTTTATTATAGCAGTGAAGCTATATTATATCCAGACAGGCAGTACTGGAGAATATATGTAGCTCAAGTGGATGGTCTTGGTTGTATGGTGTTGTCTGAGCTGGGTTGTTTAATGGTGAAGCTTTCATCGTCCCTCTAAATGACATCATCAGTACTAACTTCAGTATAAAGTTAGTAGTAGATAAATGAGTTGAACATATTCTTTTCTCATTTCACGTGACAATTGAAAAGAAAAGGCGTAAACATAATGTCTACACAGAAAATAGTATTCTTCCTTTATTTCGACTCAGATAAGTAAAAATCGCATGTTATGCCAGTGCACAAAAATAAATGATCATTGTTAACAGTATAATATTACCTTTAAAAAATACATGAACAGTAGTAATGATAATTAGTTAGTAAAATTTTGACGAAAGTTAGCTTAAAGCAATGAAAATATTTTAATTTTAATTAGTAATACTTAGAGAATAATCTGAATTATTGTTTCAATAGAGATTTTAGAGCTCGTAGAAAACAAAGAGAAGATGGAAAGAGAGAGAGAAGAACATAGAAGGAACTAGAAGAGTGAAAACTGTTTCTTTCTATGCTATTGTTTTCCGTTTTTTGAAAAGTACTCAAAAACTTGTTTTTCTACTTAAGTTAGAAAAATAAATGTTATTACTGTAGTGTACCGTTAGGATAGTTATGGCATAAAAACAGTGTAGTGGCAAAAAATAGATTTTTTAAGGATTACGATGATAGGGCACGGATTAGGGAATAGATATTCATTTCAGTAACAAACAATAATGGACTAGAAATCACGATCAATTTTTTCTTGTATGATCAATTCCCATTCCTGCCATGCATATTGCAATTCCTTGCTTAAACTGTCGAATCGTTCATCCCAATTAACTGGACAACCTAACTCCACTGCAATATCGTAAAGAGCACGTTCCGCGAAATAGCTAAGAGGTCTATTCTTCATAGCATGTTCTTGTATTTGTCTAATCAAGGCTGCATATGAACGAGAGCATCGATCAGCATCTAGCGCACGAAAGTCTCCTTGACTGTGATGATGATGATGTGGATGATAATGATGGGAACGATGAGATTGTCCTTTTGTCGAAATATCTGCTAGGGAAGTATCTGAATTCATAGTATTACCGATACTACTGTTACTACCACTACCATTACTGCTAGTAGTGTTGTCAGTTGCATTTTTATAGTTTTCATCGAAAGCTGATCGTATCAGTTTACACGAATTCAATGTTTTCACCAAGTCGAGTAGATTATGAACAGAATTTTTAAACACATACAATTCATTCCATATAAAATAGTCAATATCTGAAGTGTTTGGATTGAATTCTCTTTTCCATTCACAAATTTCACACATCCAACACATGATATAATCCATTAACGCCGATGACCAATTCTGTCCATTGGCTTGATCCAGTTGTAATTCTAACAGACGTATCTGGAAATCCATCAGTTGACACTTGGCTATATCTTCATCATCATAACCATGATCCATCAAGATGATTTTATGCGCTTTCCATAATAGTAAGTCACATAAATACGCCAAGTGTAATTTCTTCTCTAACAAGCCTGACAACTGAACTAGTCTCCTGTCTGTCTTGCTGTTATTATCATCACTATCATTATTATTATTAGTAGTAGTAGTACTACCACTGTTTTGTATAACAGATTTATGCAACATTTTTAACCGGTCTGAAGTAATTGTACTAGAGTTTAAGTCCCCGAGTAGAATAGCTTGATGAATAGCTTGCAGCTTAGTCCAGGCAATTTCACCTTGAGGTGTTTCAGATGCAGAACAAGGATTTTTCATTAGTTGATCACGATGTGAATATAACAATTCAGTTGTTTCCCTGAGTTGTTGATGAACATTTAACCATGTTGAACGATTTACTGACATTTTAACAATCGAATTAATTAATTCAGTGGCCCATTTATATGTTGAACTGCCACGTTCAAGATATTCAGAGATAAGCCACGATAACTGTCCTGTCAGGCTCAGCAGATTAAACGGTAGTGTTGGAGTTAATTTCATACTTCCATCGGTATGACACGAACCGCCTGTTGATGATACCATAGAAGAAGACGATATCTTACGACCTTGTTGACACAGTCCACTTGGTACTGTTGCATGTGCTCTCAAGAGATCATTACGATTATGCCCAAGTGGGTTCAGTGGTGGTGGTACATTGAATGAGGCTTTTTTACTAATACTTCCTGGTACAGATGAACCTCCTGCTACACCTGCTCCTGTTGCAATCACTGTTGTTGATGATTTCTTATGACGTAATAAACGTAGATTTTGTTTCAGTCGTGTACCTTCTGTTTTACGTATCTGTTTTGACAGATTCAAAACGTACTCAGGTGTTGGACCTTCATCGTCGCTGTCGCTGGTTGAATTGTCAGTGCTCAAATGTAAACTATTCATTTCCCAACGGATTTCTGTCTCATCACTTACACCATTTATTTCATCCTCATCCTCATCTTCATCATCGTCTTCAGGATAATTAATGCTGAATGTAACAGCCTTTTCCTCACCACCACCAGCTTCATTTCTGTTCCCTTTCTTCCTTGAACGCAACAGAACAAGGGGATCTTTTAAAAATGTTGACATCATATCATCAGCTTCATTGATTGACAGATTTTGTTTCCTCCGCATACGCTTTAAACTGTTCACTAGAAAGTTGATAGCACTTGTATCCGAGGCCAGGACAGCTGTAGTGCACAGATTGATGAGTGTAGTTACACGTGCATTTGTTGTGTCAATACGACGGAGCAGAAGATCAAAGTTAATCCCAGCCTTACTGACTGAACATGGCTCACATATTGTCTGTACATAACATTCCGTCTCATTATCTTTACCATGTTCATGGTCTAAACCCATTTCTTCTGGTGAATTCATCAATTTATGTACTAAGTCTAGTTCAGCTAGCATTTGTTCACTTTTCCTATGAATTTGTTCATCTGACTGACTTTTGCTTAAATTACTACCGGTACGAGATTTTGAAGAGTCGTCAACTAGATTGAAAAGATTACAGGAAAAGAAGAACTTTAATTTAATCGCCATACTACTAAAACTTCAGCTGGATAGTATATTAATAGTAATAATAATAATATTCACGGGAAAACAAAGAAAATTACTTGATGTCCATCCTAAAGAAGAACGACTAACCAAGAAACTTTATCAAAAGATGCCTATCTCGTACATCATCAACTAAAAAGTCATCGACACAAATCAATAAACGCATCATTCCATCCTACATAAACAATGAATACATCAGAAATCACGACAAGATTACTGAGATCACTTAGTGGAATTGGTGGCTAGGTGGCTAGCTGGCTCATAAACCAACAAATTCCCTCTAAACACCATCATCCAAACCGAAGGATGCAACAACCAAAGAAGACAAACCGAATATCATTTACAAAATCAACGACAATAACTGCAGTCAACACTACATTAGACAAAGTGGTCGCCCCCTTCACCTTCGTCTACATGAACACCAATTGACTATTAAACGTCACACACAACACTTCATCACTCATTTCAATGCACCTGGATAACAACAATGGACATGAATTGAATTTCGACAATCTACAAACATGGGAGGGAGAGAGGAAACACAAAGAATATCAGTGAATTCCTAGAGGCTTGACATTCAGGTCAGTCAGTCAGTCAGTCAGCAATCAATAGGTGTATAGACATAGATCCAATCTATCAACCAATAGGAAAAATGACAAACAACAGAAAAGCAAGAGGTCAAGCAGAGGAATAGCCAACAAGAAAATCTATGAAGTCAATGACACAACAATGAAAGGAAACAACTAGTTACAGACCAGATCGTCGAGACAAGCTACTAAATCCGTGACGGAGAGATATTGACAGATCACTTCATAGTGAAGTTAGTCCTGATGATGTCGTCTAGAAAGACAATGAGAACTCTACAATTAAACAACCTATCTCAGAGAACACAATGAAACCAAGATCATCCACCTGAACTATGAATATTCTCCGCCGTATTAATAATAACTGTGAGACAGTAGATGGCCGTTCTCATTTTAGTTTATGACTGTTCAGCAGTACATACTCATGGCACTACGTGGGATCGACCCCAGAATGATCAAGTTTCACAACAAACAAAATACCATTCAGCCATTGCACTGGCATTAATAATGACAAAAATAATCCAGCCCAGAAACGATATGTGCATTTTTATGTCAGATTATGCATATCTGGATGTCGATTGCTAGAATCTCAGTAGTTGGAGTTGGCGTCTAGTCTGTAACTCACTACCTGAAATCTAATGAGTTATAGCTGCACCAAACGAACACTAGTAGATTAAACTGGACAACTATTTTCATATTGTCCACGACAACAAACCAGCATACATCTTGAACTCTTGCAAAATCCCTAAAGTAAATTAACTAATGGAAATTCTTCGAGCATATATATATATATATATATATATATATATATATATATATATATATATATATATATATATATATATATATATACAGTCACCATGAACGGGAGAAACTTAAAGGAAGTAACCTCCTTCACCTATCTAGGAAGCACTGTTTCAACTACAGGCTGCACAGACAAGGATGTCAAAGCCAGTCAGAATCGGAAAAGCAAGACAGGCGTTCATTAGCCTGAAACCAGTGTGAAGATCTTCTGCACTCAGCATGTGGAACAAGATACGGATTTTGAACACCAACGTCAAGTCAGTGCTTCTATATGGTTGAGAGACTTGGCGCGTCACGAAAGGCATTTCCAATAAACTGCAGACATTCATCAACAAGTGCTTACGCTCGCTACTGAAGATCAGATGGCCAGAAAGAATAAGTAACAAGGAGCTCTGGGAACGAAGCAACCAAGAACCTATCACTCAACAAATATGCAGGAGGAAGTGGAGGTGGATTGGGCATGCACTGAGAAGGCCGACTGGGGACATCACGCGTCAGGCCAGTTGCTCGAGTGGAATCCCCATGGGAAGCGACGAGTTGGACGTCCGAGTGTGACATGGAGGAGGTCGTGCGAGGAGGAAATGAGAGCTTGTGGTCTGTCCTGGAACCAGGTTCAAAAGATCTCAGAGAACAGAGTGTAATGGAGACGTGCTACTGAAGCCCCATGTTCCACTAGGAACCCAAGGGACTGATAATAATTATATATATATATATATATATATATATATATATATATATATATATATATATATATATATATATATATATAAGTGGTACCATCCAACCTCATTTGTAAAAGCGGAGTGGTGCGTTACCATTTGTCTGTTGGTGGTTGGCACATTGCACTCTACTTTCAACCTGTCATTTGAACACTATAATTTCAAGAATAAGAACTCTAAGTCTACAGATCTTGCGTCTGTCTGAGACACGAAACAACTCACTAAGAAGCTTCTTAATCTTTACCAGAATGCTATTTAAAGGAAATCTGAATATTATTCATTGAAATCTTCGAAAATCAGAAAGAAACAGTTATGAGTTACTGCAAGGCTTCCAATGGATGGTTCTCTAACTGATACCAGTCAGAGATGACAAATGGATTTCTCGAAGGTCTACTGATAATTTGTGACCTGTGAGGTCGGTCAAGTTACCAGGGAAGACAGCTACTCACTGAGGATATTGAGTAATACGGATGCTATATTGCGAAGTAAAAGAAGTGGGAAATAGTGGATTATTGAACCCCAGCCCAGTTTCTGGATAGTAACTAGCTAGTTGCGAAACTTGGAAGTGTCCCGGTTTGGTTACTTGTAAGGTTATAGTTGCGCACTACTGGGAAGTCATAAAATAGGGCTAGACAGCTCTTCGATACTTCAGGGTTTTTAATAGTTCATTGACTAATGTCTATCCGTAGAGAAAGCTATTTTGAAATTAACCGATTCCTCTTAATCAGTAACTGAATTTCTGTCAAAACTGTCTGCTAGCTGTTACTCTCAGGTGGCAACATCTACTACCCTTCAGCTAACATAAAGTTATTAGATTGAAAGCAATATGTTACTTACCTTATCAGTCTTAGCCATCTACTTAAACACCGACTGAGTTAGGTTTCAGCCTCATTGAGTGACTGAAAACATCAACGCAGAACCTCACACACAGGTGCATCGGGTCAAATTGCCACACTTCACAGTAGTACACAAGAACGGATCGATAGAAAAAGTGATATCAAGGTAGAAGTTGTGAGATAGAATAAGCAATCTGATGATAAAGGTTAGTGGGAATATTCAAGCTTCAGAAGATCTCAAAGAGTGAATGCATCTGCGCCACTGTATCCGATTTTTAGCTGTCACCAAGACTCTTCAACCACTCATTCGTTTCTTCTCGAGGACATTAATGAGGCAGTCTACATCGTCCTACACGGCTCAAAAGAATAGTAAGGAACTATCGACTGGCATCAAGTCTTGGTCTGGCCACCCTGAACCCTCTTTCAACCTAATCCAACTTCCCTTAGCATGGCACGTCAAGGTAGATGGTGGCTCGGCATGCGCAGTACATGTCCAAGTCATATCAGTCGATGAAGGTTCACAACCTTAAAAAGTTAACTGTTTTCAAGATCCTCCCCTAATCTCTAACTATAAGAAGTGATTGGTGAAGACGAGTAGTCTGAGAAACTTTGATATACCTGATCGTCAACTTCAGCTAAAAGCTATTTGCTTGCTATAGAGTCATGAAGAAAACAACACAAATGTTCGGTAGTGTTCTAAGTAAGAAAAAAGAGATCTTGAATGAAGCTTTAAATTTGTTCTGTTTAAGATGGCCAACAAATTTGATACACTTGTCTCGGTTGTATTGTGTTCTATGAGCTCAGAGAACACAATAGAACCAAGAACATCTACCTGAGCTACAAATATTTTCCACTATTTCAAAATTTGATACACCTGTATATTTAGAACTAATCCCAGTATGACACACTGATTAGATTGGGAACATGAGTAAGAAAATGTCTTGATACAATAAACATAACCTTGTTTCACAGCGTCACCACCAGTAAGTCTCCCGAAAGCGGTCAGAGACATGCTAGAAATGAATGGGTGGTTTCATGCAGTGTAGCGATTAGAAACAAAGTATTGTTTTCTCCACAAGATCTATCCTATTGTACTGATAAGCATGAAGCACTTAGTAATCTGCAACAGACAGCTACTTACTGATATGAGAAAAAAAGGAAGCTGAGTTACTCATCTCCTTAGTATGAGATATAGTTGATGAGATAATTGACAAATGGCCTATCTCTTTATGTAGGAGGTTAGTCTGAGTATGCAGAAGAGTACTTCCAGAGAAATGAGCAACACTACTATCAATATATGGTAGCAAATAAACCAGTATACCTTAATATCATTTGTTTGAACTAATAACTGCAAAAGTACCCAGCTTCCATACATAACGTCATTTCGACTGCATACACACTTCTCTACCTGAATATCTACATGCTTGTCTATACTTTGCCCATACCTATGAATCACCCAGTGAATTGAACGCACTACGAATAATTCGCAACCTGTGGTTGGTCAATCATTCTTTCCCACCAACTTTACAATGCAAGAGAAAGGTGAACGGCTTTCATTTTGTTCTGTTCGAGTTATGCTTGCGTACCAGTGAACTACATGCTTACAATTCATAAAAATAAAGTATCTAACTTTTCATACATGTAGAATGGGTGAGGGGAGATAATTTACGACAACTGATTCCACATGACATTCAAGCCTTTGTTTAGTGACGGGAAACGGGTTTCGCCCTATTTGGCTGAATTTACTTGTATCCCAGTGAGTGATGGGGTTCCCACTGAGAGCTGAACACGGAACCCATAGCGTCAAACGCCACAGCCTGCAAATATTTCGCAGCCAGGAATCCTAAGAAATCTGGGGAGGAATCAATAAACATCTGTTAACCTGAACTAGACAATACTACCATAAAGAGTAACAAGCCCTGAAATAAACTGAACTATACAGGCTATCATACCTATAGTATATATACATACATATGTTCACTTACATCTACCAATCAGTTTCCGGAATGAGAACTTTTTCTTCTCCTTCATTTTCTAAAAACCAAAATAAAGTACAAAAACATTTACATAAATGAATAAAGGATCGATAAATAAAGAGAACTTGAAGCTGTTCAAGGTTGTTTTTACTCGAAATGAACTTATTCTGGGTCAAATTTATGCAAACACATGATTTGGATATCTGGCGTTATTTTTTCTATTTTTTACTGAACTAATATTCTTTTGATACGATCAGGAAAAGTAATATACGTAATTTTTTTCTGTTTCTGTAGAACTGAAATACAATCTCCCTGTAAAAGAATATAAATCAATCCCTAAAGGATGGTATGTAATAACAAAAGAAGTATGTATTGAACTATATTGTGACGTTGGGTCCTTTCTAACAGCCTGTAGGTTGACCTTGAAACAATCAATAAGAATTGAGCTTGCTGTATTTTTGTTTTACATCTTTCGTTTAACGAAAAGCAATTTTGACGATAATCTTGACTAATAGTCTGGTATGATGTCATGTTATTTCTCGGTGTTGGTCAGCTTGATGCAAATGGATTGGACACTGTTGGAAAACAACCTGCGATACTGGTGCTTTGATATAGCTGATTTATTCTTTTTGATAATTAGGTTGATTGGTGGCTAGTAGTGGTATGGGAAACTCGAATTTCATATTGCATATGACTCATTTACTGGATGCACTTTTCCCACCAGCTGGTATTTCTGTTGCCACCTATATTCAGCTAAGCAGTTACTAACAGGGTGAAATACACATCGTTGATTTCACTGCTAGTCACTACCAACAGAATAAGATTAAATTAACATGTGATAATAGTATAGAGTTCTTGGGATTTATTCTTCTATTCAGAATAGATAAATGATGTCCATCGTCTCCATTTTCGTGAATCCATTGCTGGCATATAATGCAAGTCAAATTACTCCGGTATTAGCATAATACCGTTACTCAGTCGTCTCATATTTTAGAAATTCATCTATTTAAATTCATTTTCGACTTGTGAGTTTTTAAGGAACTTCCGTGTTCCCGGTGGTTGAAAGCAGTGAACATAAACTATACGACTGCAGTTTTGTGCTTATTTGTATTCCTGAGCAAGGTTTAATTGGAGAATTGAGGAACGCTTCGAGATTTAAACCAGAGTCATGCAATGCTGCATACAGAGGTGTTGTTACTAGACTAGCCAGGCTACAA